GCAACAGTGGAGCTTAGATTACATCACAGTTGTTGTGAGCTCACACACATATGCACATAGTCCTATAGTACACGCACAAGGGCTCGATTCAATCCGTGGTGCTGACGATCCGCTTTGTAGCGCGATTGACATTTAAAGGCAATGTTCCCGCATTAGTGGAGACTGCATTCACGGTAAACGCTGCATACAGTGGGGAGAACAAGTATTTATAACACTGCCGATTTTGCAGGTTTTCCTACTTACAAAGCATGTAGAGGTCTGTAATTTTTATCATAGGTACACTTCAACTGTGAGAGACGGAATCTAAAACAAAAATCCAGAAAATCACATTGTATGATTTTTAAGTAATTAATTTGCATTTTATTGCATGACATAAGTATTTGATACATCAGAAAAGCAGAGCTTAATATTTGGTACAGAAACCTTTGTTTGCAATTACAGAGATCATACGTTTCCTGTAGGTCTTGACCAGGTTTGCACACACTGCAGCAGGGATTTTGGCCCACTCCTCCATACAGACCTTCTCCAGATCCTTCAGGTTTCGGGGCTGTCGCTGGGCAATACAGACTTTCAGCTCCCTCCAAATATTTTCTAATGGGTTCAGGTCTGGAGACTGGCTAGGCCACTCCAGGACCTTGAGATGCTTCTTACGGAGCCACTCCTTAGTTGCCCTGGCTGTGTGTTTCGGGTCGTTGTCATGCTGGAAGAACCAGCCACGACCCATCTTCAATGCTCTTACTGAGGGAAGGAGGTTGTTGGCCAAGATCTCGCGATACATGGCCCCATCCATCCTCCCCTCAATACGGTGCAGTCGTCCTGTCCCCTTTGCAGAAAAGCATCCCCAAAGAATGATGTTTCCACCTCCATGCTTCACGGTTGGGATGGTGTTCTTGGAGTTGTACTCATCCTTCTTCTTCCTCCAAACACGGCGAGTGGAGTTTAGACCAAAAAGCTCTATTTTTGTCTCATCAGAACACATGACCTTCTCCCATTCCTCCTCTGGATCATCCAGATGGTCATTGGCAAACTTCAGACGGGCCTGGACATGCGCTGGCTTGAGCAGGGGGACCTTGCATACGCTGCAGGATTTTAATCCATGATGGCGTAGTGTGTTACTAATGGTTTTCTTTGAGACTGTGGTCCCAGCTCTCTTCAGGTCATTGACCAGGTCCTGCCGTGTAGTTCTGGGCTGATCCCTCACCTTCCTCATGATCATTGATGCCCCACGAGGTGAGATCTTGCATGGAGCGCCAGACCGAGGGGGATTGACCGTCATCTTGAACTTCTTCCATTTTCTAATAATTGCGCCAACAGTTGTTGCCTTCTCACCAAGCTGCTTGCCTATTGTCCTGTAGCCCATCCCAGCCTTGTGCAGGTCTACAATTTCATCCCTGATGTCCTTACACAGCTCTCTGGTCTTGGCCATTGTGGAGAGGTTGGAGTCTGTTTGATTGAGTGTGTGGACAGGTGTCTTTTATACAGGTAACGAGTTCAAACAGGTGCAGTTAATACAGGTAATAACTGGAGAACAGGCGAGCTTCTTAATGAAAAACTAACAGGTCTGTGAGAGCCGGAATTCTTACTGGTTGGTAGGTGATCAAATACTTATGTCATGCAATAAAATGCAAATGTATTACTTAAAAATCATACAATGTGATTTTATGGATTTTTGTTTTAGATTCCGTCTTTCACAGTTGAAGTGTACCTATGATAAAAATTACAGACCTCTACATGCTTTGTAAGTAGGAAAACCTGCAAAATCGGCAGTGTATCAAATACTTGTTCTCCCCACTGTATGTCGTCTCAATTGGAAATGACCTTTACATTTCAATTGTGCTATACTGTGGATCTTCAGCGATACAGACTGAATCGAGCCCTAAGTAAATGAACACCATACACATTCATAAACCTAAACATGGAAAATGATATCCTGGAAAAGACACCACACACACACACACACACACACCTACATTGAAAATTATTTATACAGCCTGCCTGGCCTCAAAACCAGTTTAGAAATACGTACTACCAACTTAGAAGCACAGTGATAACTCTCCAAGTCCACAGATGAGCAATAGAAGCCTCTATAGAGAACTGAAACAACTGTTGTAGAGAAAGTGTGTGACTGTTCTCCGTGGTCTCATTATAAAAATGAGTTCATCAAACGGATGTTATGTCATTTGTCACTTCAATAACTGCTCTTAGCTCCATTGACAGATTTGAGCCATTATATATTTCAATTCTATGTAAAACCATGCCAAACAACTACAATTTAATGGTTCATTTTCGGCTGTAAAATGTCAGTTGTGCAATCATTTATTTTTGTCTTACTTTTGTATACACATAGAATGTGAAGTAGTGCTCGCCATACAAGATGTAATGTAAAATGAGTCTAATGTAGAGAGTGTATAAGGTAATTAACAGCGCATCTAGTTAAGCAATAAATCTGTAGTTTCTCCCTTTATATGGCTCCGGCCTGTATATGCTTTGTAAATATGAAAATACGTTATGACGGAAATCTACGCATTGTACATAGGAGAATATGCATTTGAGATCAACAGCCATTGTTATTTTTCAGAGAACATACTAATTGTTTTTTGTACATTAAATTTCAACAAAACTTTGAGATGTAAATCTGTTTTTCAAAACTTGTTGTTTATTCTGTGTGTGTGGAGGGGTGGTTTCTTTCCCTTCTTATCTCATAACAGAGATGGGTAAAATGATCAAACGGTGAAAATCGATTAAAAAATATTATGTTTTATTCATCCAGGACAAACCCCATTACTTGACTTCACATCATGGCCCTGGGAAAACACTACAATAAAAATCCATAGAAAATCTATGAAATAACAACATAAAACCTTTCCGTTTGAACAACACAATACTCGGGAATGGAGTTTCAACTCTCAAATACAGCATAACATGAAAGAAATGGAAGTGTGTGAAAAAGAAGAAGAGACAAAGAGAAAAACAAGTGCAGGGAGAGACGAGCTGAGAAAAGAAAGGAAGGAAGGAAGGAAGGAAGGAAGGAAGGAAGGAAGGATGGAAGATGGGTAAAGGCTAGCCATCACTAAGTTACATATCTAAGAGTCAACAGACTATCCAAGGGGTACACCTACAAGATGAAAAAACACATAACATCAAATGCTCTCTCTTTTCTTCTCCTCCACCTCCTACTCTTCCTCATCGAATGACGCCACTCCTGACGAGCCTCTGTCGGAGAAGAAGCTTCTCTGGCTCTGGCAGGAGTGCCACTCTCTACCTTCCTGAAACACACTCCCCTCTTCACCCCCCTCTTCCGCTTCCTCCTCTCCAAGAGACTCAGAGTGAGAGGTTGAATAGCAGGAGTCAAACCTACTGCTTCTGATTCTCGGCCTCCAGTCAGGCTTGTGGACGATACAGACACCCCCGCCGGCCTCTAGCAGTGGTACAGGCTGATCCTCACCATCCACTAGTTCCCCCTCTCTGGGGAAAGGGCTAGCCCGGTCACTCTCTAGAGTAGGCTGGTCGTTTTGCTGTGGAGCCGGGTCATTCTGAGATGTGGGCCTATCACAGTGCAGGCTATTGCTGCTAGAGCCCACAGGACTGGTTGAGCTGATAGAGGGCGGAACTTTAATGCTGTCAATCTCAGCCTGGAATGGCACTCGAGGCTTGTGATTGGACGTTGCAGTGTCTGAGGGAGGAGCAAAGAGTCAGAACACCTGGAGATGGATGAGAAGAGAGAGATGGAGGGATGAGAAGAGGACGAGTGACGGACAGGGAAGGAAAGAAAGAAGAGAGAGGGATATTGGGGCATAGCACCGAGTCTAGGGGCTCTATTCAATCTGTAAAACTGATGCGTTACAGTTACATTGCTTTTAAATTTAAATCACGCTGTAACGCTGAATTTCCACGATGCGGATTGAAAGCCTTAGGTGGCAATGATGATCGAAACACCCATGATGAGATGCATGACACAGATATTGGGTGTACTTCTGTGCAAAGTGGGTGTATGTGTTTACCTGAGCTCTGGGTAGAGAGTGTGAGTGTGTTTCTGTTGTTCTGGAGGAACTCTTCATCAGCTTCTTCCTCATCGTCATCCACAGAAGCCCAGGCTTTCAGCTTTGCCTCAGCGATAGCAAACTGCTCTGCAACTCCTGGAAATGGACACACACACACAAAAAAAATTGGGGACACAGACAGACAGAGAGTTGTCTCAGAAATACAGTTGAAGTCAGAAGTTTACATATACTTAGGTTGGAGTCATTAAAACTCGTTTTTCAACCACTCCACACATTTCTTGTTAACAAACTATAGTTTTGGCAAGTCAGTTAGGACATCTACTTTGTGCATGACACAAGTAATTTTTCCAACAATTGTTTACAGACAGATTATTTCACTTATAATTCACTGTATCACAATTCCAGTGGGTCAGAAGTTTACATACACTAAGTTGACTGTGCCTTTAAACAGCTTGGAAAATTCCAGAAAATGATGTCATGGTTTTAGAAGCTTCTGATAGGCTAATTGACATAATTTGAGTCAATTGGAGGTGTACCTGTGGATGTATTTCAAGGCCTACCTTCAAACTCAGTGCCTCTTTGCTTGACATCATGGGAAAATCAAAAGAAATCAGCCAAGACCTCAGAAATAAAATTGTAGACCTCCACAAGTCAGGTTCATCCTTGGGAGCAATTTCCAAACGGCTGAAGGTACCATGTTCATCTGTACAAACAATAGTACGCAAGTATAAACACCATGGGACCACGCAGCTGTCATACCGCTCAGGAAGGAGATGCGTTCTGTCTCCTAGAGATGAACGTACTTTGGTGCGAAAAGTGCAAATAAATCCCAGAACAACAGCAAAGGACCTTGTGAAGATGCTGGAGGAAACAGGTACAAAAGTATCTATATCCACAGTAAAATGAGTCCTATATCGACATAACCTGAAAGGCTGCTCAGCAAGGAAGAACCCACTGCTCCAAAACCGCCATAAAAAAGCCAGACTACAGTTTGCAACTGCACATGGGGACAAAGATCGTACTTTTTGGAGAAATGTCCTCTGGTCTGATGAAACAAAAATAGAACTGTTTGGCCATAATGACCATCGTTATGTTTGGAGGAAAAAGGGGGTAGCTTGCAAGCCGAAGAACACCATCCCAAACGTGAAGCACGGGGGTGGCAGCATCATGCTGTGGGGGTGCTATGCTGCAGGAGGGACTGGTGCACTTCCCAAAATAGATGGCATCATGAGGAATCTCAAGACATCAGTCAGGAAGTTAAAGCTTGGTCGCAAATGGGTCTTCCAAATGGACAATGACCCCAAGCATACTTCCAAAGTTGTGGCAAAATGGCTTAAGGACAACAAAGTCAAGGTATTGGAGTGGCCATCACAAAGCCCTGACCTCAATCCTATAGAACATTTGTGGGCAGAACTGAAAAAGCGTGTGTGAGCAAGGAGGCCTCCAAACCTGACTCAGTTACACCAGCTCTGTCAGGAGGAATGGGCCAATATTCACCCAACGTATTGTGGGAAGCTTGTGGAATGTTTCCCAAAATGTTTGACACAAGTTAAACAATTTAAAGGCAATGCTACCAAATACTAATATATTGTATGTAAACTTCTGACCCACTGGGAATGCAATGAAAGAAATTAATGTTGAAATAAATAATTCTCTCTACTATTATTCTGACATTTCACATTCTTAAAATAAAGTGGTGATCCTACCTGACCTAAGACAGGGAATTTTTACTGGGATTAAATGTCAGGAATGTATTTGGCTAAGGTGTATGTAAACTTCTGACTTCAACTGTAGTTAGAAAGTGAACATGAGAGAGGCTGTATCCCCATGGGGACACTAGGGGACAGTGAAGTGACAGTTGGAGGAGAGTCTCTAATTGGCTACCATCTGTTGGGCTCTCATAGGACAGGCCGTCATCACGTAGGTGACGCAGGAGGGGCACAGATCTGAGCTGAGACATATGAAGGGGTTAGAGAAGAGCTGTGGGACAGGTGTAGGGATGAAAGAGGGGGTCAGGACTACACACATACAAGTATGTACGAACGTACGCACACAAATTGATCCAATTGACCCAAAAATTGTCAGCATGGACGTCATATGCTAATGACTGAAATCCACAGAGTAAAGTACCGTACAGAGGACATATTCCTGATACGATCCTATCTGAGCCATTGATTAAACACCATTGATTGCAGAATTAGTTGAATAATAGAAACAGAAGGTGTATACGTCCTCTTGAAAAATAAACTAAAAGAGATAAGATGAGATAAGATACATTAAAATATATTAAAAGAGGACAACATTCAATTGTTTTAAATTGGTGTGTATCACCTGACAGTGGCTCTACTTTACTGGCTGAGTTGGTGGAGGGACACGCACCTGCAGCGAAGCGCGCCTCCTGTTCTCCCTCAGTGAGGTGGCAGTAGGACTTGAAGTGTGTGTGGAGAGGGTCCGTGGGGGAGTCTGTGGATTTGGGCCAACCCTTCCACTCTATGAGGTGGGCGACCCTGCCACCCTGCAGGGACGTGGGCTTGGTGACATGGTCCTTCATCGCCTGGGATATGCCTGGAGAGAGAGAAGTAGGAGGCCTGGGTTAAAGAGAGTGTGTGACCTCTAAAAATGATGGGTCCTGAATCCTATGTATATGGGCTCGATTCAATCTGTATCGCTGAAGATCAGCACTATAGAGCGATTGAAATGTAAAGGTAATTTCCGATTGAGCCGACATATGCAGCCTTTACCGTGAATGCAGTCTCCGCTAAAGAGGGAACATTGCCTTTAAATTTCCATGGTGCTGTAGTAAAGGTCTTCAGCGCTACGGATTGAATCGAGCCCTAAGTGGACGCATGATTTGTATGTGTGAGATGAAAGTGAATCAGTGTGTGTGTGTGTGTGTGTGTGTGTGTGTGTGTATATCTGTCTGTCTTTCTGTCTCTTACCATTTAAGGAGGATCTGGCCAGAGCAGCAATCTCCTGGATGCTTACTGCCTTTCTACTGTCTGAAGCTTTTCTTGATTTGGGGATCATTTCAGCTTCTAAAAATGTTACCTGGAAAGAAAAGCAGTCATTCTCAGTATGTCACTTACACCACAGCACTTGAGTGTTTTCTATATTAATGTTGTAGGTCAGGGATGGGGTGGGGTCCACAAAACATCTGAACTCATCATGTTGGGCAGCAGGGGCTCGCGATTCTGCATACCCACCCACATCCATATCCCCACCTTGCGAGCAAAACATTTCAGCATCTCCTCTCTTGACAGCGAAGAGAAAAAAATGGACGTTTTAGAGCTAATTTCCTGCAATGCTACACATTTTACAATGGGGTGTAGAGAAAATGTTGCAGTTTTAAAACAAGAATGCTGCAAATCTACACATTTTGCCATTTGTCTTTGGAAGATTTGGAAATGTTTTAACTAATTTCATGCAATTCTACACATTTTGCCATGGGGCGGCAAGAAATGTTAGCAGTTTTTAATATGATATCAGAGTGAGAGTGACTAACAAAATCAACCGGGGCCAGGTTGGTAATTCAACCATGATTACTACAAGTTTAGATAGCTGGCAGCTAGACTAGCTTACCAAATGTTAGCTGGCATGGGCTAATTAAGTGAATGACAGTGACTGATGTAACAAGAGAAAAGCTGCTGATGCACAACCACATTTTGAAATTGCACCTTGTGCATTCTACTCTTCTAACTAACAGTAAGTTGTGATCCTCCTGACTGAGTTCCTAAAAAATATGTATATATATATACAGTACCAGTCCAAAGTTTGGACACACCTACTCATTCCATGGTTTTTCTTTATTTTTACTATTTTCTACATTGTAGAATAATAGTGAAGACATCAAAACTATGAAATAACACATATGGAATCATGTAGTAACCAAAGAAGTGTTAAACAAATCAAAATATATTTTATATTTGAGATTCTTCAAATAGCCACCCTTTGCCTCGATGACAGCTTTGCACACTCTTGGCATTCTCTCAACCAGCTTCATGAGGTAGTCACCTGGAATGCATTTCAATTAACAGGTGTGCCTTGTTAAAAGTTAATTTGTGGAATTTCTTAATGCGTTTGAGCCAATCAGTTGTGTTGTGACAAGGTAGGGGTGGTATACAGAAGATAGCCCTATTTGGTAAAAGACCAAGTCCATATTATTGGCAAGAACTGCTCAAATAAGCAAAGAGAAATTACAGTCCATCATTATTTTAAGACATGAAGGTCAGTCAATTCGGAAAATGTCAAGAACTTTGAAAGTTTCTTCAAGTGCAGTCGCAAAAACCATCAAGCGCTATGATGAAACTGGCTCTCATGAGGACCGCCACAGGAAAGGAAGACCCAGAGTTACTTCTGCTACAGAGGATAAGTTCATTAGAGTTACCAGCCTCAGAAATTGCAGCCCAAATAAATGCTTCACAGAGTTCAAGTAACAGACACATCTCAACATCAACTGTTCAGAGGAGACTGCGTGAATCAGGCCTTCATGGTTGAATTACTGCAAAGAAACCACTACTAAAGGACACCAATAATAAGAAGAGACTTGTTTGGGCCAAGAAACACAAGCAATGGACATTCGACCGGTGGAAATCTGTCTTATGGTCTGATGGTTGGTTCCAACCGCAGTGTCTATGTGAGAAGTAGAGTAGTTGAACGGATGATTGCCGCATGTGTGGTTCCCACCGTGAAGCATGGAGGACGAGGTGTGATGGTGTGGGGGTGCTTTGCTGGTGACACTGTCTGTGATTTATTTAGAATTCAAGGCACACTGAACCAGCATGGCTACCACAACATTCTGCAGCGATACGCCATCCCATCTGGTTTGCGCTTAATGGGACTATCATTTGGTTTTCAACAGGACAATAACCCAACACACTTCCAAGCTGTGTAAGGGCTATTTGACCAAGAGGAGAGTGATGGAGTGCTGCATCAGATGACCTGGCCTCCACAATCACTCAACCTCAACCCAACTGAGATGGTTTGGGATGAGTGCTCAGCATATGTGGGAACTCCTTCAAGACTGTTGGAAAAGCATTCCAGGTGAAGCTGGTTGAGAGAATGCCAAGAGTGTGCAAAGCTGTCATAAAGGCAAAGGGTGGCTATTTGAAGAATCTCACATATAAAATATATTTTGATTTGTTTAAAAAAAAATTGGTTACTACATGATTCCATATGTGTTATTTCATAGTTTTGATGTCTTCACTATTATTCTACAATGTAGAAAATAGTTTAAAAAATTAAGAAAAACCCTGGAATGAGTAGGTGTGTCCAAACTTTTGACTGGTACTGTATATATATTGTCTTTGGAAATGTATCCATGGGCCTACAAAAGATTGGACGGGGCCGCCAGTTGCCCATCCCTGTTGCAGGCTATTGGACTCAAATGTTGCTCAGAGCCCAATAAGACATCATGAAATCGATTATTTTATGAAGCAGCGGACAATGGCGCGTCACGCGAGTGTGAATGGCGAAAAGACGAGAGACAATCCCGTGTGCTTTTCAACACCTGGACAGCGACCGCTCCCCAGAGCGTGTGATGGCGCAGGAGTTCCATGACTTTGCACTAACCATTTAAAACAGTTAAAATAATTTTACATATTGCCTCTGCGATAGTGTATTTTAAAAGCCAGCAGTAGGCTATGCACGTTGTTGCGTGTTGTAAGAAAGTAGGGTCCATCATAATTTGTGGTCAATTAACAATAACACCTATGAAAACACGTTGCCTTTTTCCCTGAAGGAACCATGGAATCGTTGGTGCGAAGTCTGCATAGGATGATTACACCCTACCTCCTCTCGTTTTCGTCCATCTCTTTCTCCTCCACGAAAAGTCAACCACATCTTGGGCATGAAGAGACGACGTATCACCGCCGAACAAGACAACGCATTAATCAACCCCACAGCTCTATAAGTTTTAACGCTGCTAATGACTATACTGCCGCGACAGATGCCAAAGCCACGGTAAGCCGGTGAAACCGTTTGGCTCAAATGGTTAAACTGAGGGAGTCCACGAGACCGGATAAACATTTGTCCCGAGGCAAGCTCAATAGGTTACTGCTGTGTGAGCAGCTCGAGACCCCCTATCTGCTCACCCTGCTGTGAAAGGCCCTGCTGTGAAATAGAGATGCATGTGTGCGTCTGGAGTCAGTGGGTCAGCGATTTTTGCCTCCTTTATTTATACTTCAGTAACAAAAGTTATTATTTGGTGCACAGTCCAATACACAAGAGGGCTCTGGTCTACCCAAGTGTATAATTCTTTGGCCCTCTAGGTGCAATAGGTTGAAAATGAGACAAGGTCACCGACAATGATGATGAGCTTTATTGACCCTGGGGGACAAAGAAGACCTATCATGAACGAGACTTTAGGAATTGGCTGGAATTCAGTCGGCCCTAAAGTAGGCTACACGTGCTTGACATGACCACGCTAATACCATACATTCCTAAGCAGATTTGTGCTTAAACCTCTAACAGAAAAGCTGCCACTATTGAGACCATGGAATGCACAGATGCACTGTATAATGACATTCATGCTGATGATATGTGGGTCAAATGCAAAGTGGACCAAGACCACCATGACCATGTTTATGTTTTTGGATGTCTCTCTCTCTGCCTGTGTGTGTGTGTGTGTGTACGTGTGTGGTTTGGTTTTACTATCCTTGTGGGAACCAGGAGCCCTCATAGTAAAACAAGGACAATTCGGACAAGTGGGGCCATTTCGCAGGTTTAGGGTTAGAATTAAGGTTATGGGTAGGGTTAGGGGTTAGGAGCTAGGTTTAGTTTTAGGGTTAGAGTTAGGGATTTGGGGTTAAGGTTTGTGGTTAGGGAAAATAGGATTTTGAATGTGAAAAAAGGCTTTTGTCCCCACAGGGATAGTAAAACAAAAGTGTGTGTTTGTGTGTACACGTTTTACTATACTTGTGAGTACCAGAAGTCCTCACAAGAATAGTAAACCAATTAAAATTCCTATAAGTGAGGACATTTTTGCCAGTTCTCACTTGTAAAAAAGCTATTTTAGTTAGTGTTGAATTAGGGTTACAATTAGGGTTAGGGGTTAAGTTTAGGGTTAGGGAAAATAGGATTTTGAATGGCAGTCAATTATTGGTCCTCAAAAAGTCCTTACAAGTATAGTGTGTGTGTGTGTGTGTGTGTGTGCGTGTGTGTGTGTGTGTGTGTGTGTGTGTGTATTGGGCCTATAGAATGAGAGCAAAACATACACCATAGTCTAATAGCCTATTGGCCTATATAGAGCGTAAATATAGAACCTTAAGCCAAAAGGATGGAGCATTTAAACAAATAACGCAATAGAACAACATACATGGCTGTCCTTGTTGATAGGCAACATCACCACTCTATAAAGGGGATTACATGTATTCTTGGATAAACATGAGCCTAGCCATATGGTCGACTTGGCATAGAGTGAGCAGCAGGGAAAGACGGCTATATGTGACTTCCCACTCGCCTATTCAGCACCCACGTGTCTTTTCAGCACCAGGACAGCTCCAGTGAAAATCCACTCCTTTGAGCATCATGACCAGAGTACAAAAGCAAATGTGTTTGACATGAATGACAATGAGTGTATATATATTACACAGTCACACAGCCTGGGTTTAGGCCTAGACTCAATGTAGGCTAATTCCATCCATGCTATTGCTTTCTTGGGTTTGATCGTCCTAATGGCCCTATTGCCTTATATAATCAAGCAGGTAAGTAATTGAGAACACATTCTCTTTTACAATAACGACCTATTGTGTGGTAGGCCTACAACCCACATTTATATAGCCCAATAGGTAATATGTCATTTGTTCTGTTGTGTTTGGAAATCATACTAGCAAACACGGTCATTATAATATGGAATAGGGGATCGATAGGCTATATAGGGCATATGGGCTACTTTTCTCTTTCACACCGCGAGGTGTGTTTAACCTACAGTAGGCCTACCAGAGAAAGGGATAAGCATGCTGTCTCTGAGTAGGATTGATTTACTGTGAGGCCTCTGCCAGATACGTGCCTGTTCACCGGTGACGTGACATGGCCGTTAACAAAGAATGAGACCGACAGCGGACATCATACTGTGATTGATGGCACGGTAATTGCCAGGAGAAATAAATAACACCGGTGCTGGTGTCTGTGTACACAGTGCGGCTCGAGCAGAGGATGCAGCATGTCTCCAAGCAACGGGAAACAACATCTGCATATCAATGACCCTGACTCGTTACCGAGACTGCCGCATTGTAATAAAAAGCCAATTAAAAGGGATAGCAAGTATATCGATCGGTAAACAAAATACGACTTTATATAGGGAATAAAGGCATACCAGTAAATGTCGGTCACACACATTAGCACCTACCTGTAAACCGTTTGGAGGTGGCGGCACCGTCGAGCGTTGCACATGATCACAATGAGCTTGTCTCAAATCCCATTAACAGATGCTACCGTTGTGCCCCGTGTTGTTTCCCACCCCCCCCCACCCCACCCCCGTATTTTTATAACTTTCTTGTCTTGTAGCCTAGTACAAAACGCCCTGCTTTCACGCTTCAAGCCTCGGGTTGTCGCCCGTAGATATGGGCTGCTATAGCCCTACCTATATGCGCTCTGTCCAAATTGTTGGCACGCGTCATCAGCGAAAGGCTGTGTCATAACCAAATCTGTCCTCCTCCATCCAAATTCTCTTCCCCCCTTTGATAACATGTTGCGAAATGTTTTTTGCCTACTATTACTGGTCTGTTGTCTGTCAATGTAGGCTACGTAGTTGATATCATATAATTGGTCACAAAAATTAGCACTAATTATAGGCTATCACTTTTATAACCAACAAACCTGTAAACCTGATGGTTAATTAATGAAGACATCCCTTCACCAGGACCCTAATGATCACAGAGGGGTACCAAATCATATATAACATTTTCTTTGTCACATGTACCTAATATAACAAGTCGTGGTCAAAAGTTTTGAGAATGTCACAAGTATTGGTCTTCACAAAGTTTGCTGCTTCAATGTTTTTAGATATTTCTGTCAGATGTTACTATGGTATACTGAAGTATAATTACAAGCATTCCATAAGTGTCAAAGGCTTTTATTGACAATTACATTAAGTTTATGCAAAGAGTCAATATTTGCAGTGTTGACCCTTGTTTTTCAAGACCTCTGCAATCCGCCCTGGCATGCTGTCAATTAACTTCTGGGCCACATCCTGACTGATGGCAGCCCATTCTTGCATAATCAATGCTTGGAGTTTGTCCGAATTTGTGGGTTTTTGTTTGTCCACCCGCCTCTTGAGGATTGACCACAAGTTCTCAATGGGATTAAGGTCTGGGGAGTTTCCTGGCCATGGAACCAACATTTCAATGTTTTGTTCCCAGAGCCACTTAGTTATCACTTTTGCCTTATGGCAAGGTGCTCCATCATGCTGGAAAAGGCATTGTTCGTCACCAAACTGTTCTTGGATGGTTGGGAGAAGTTGCTCTCGGAGGATGTGTTGGTACCATTCTTTATTCATGGCTGTGTTCTTAGACAAAATTGTGAGTGAGCCCACTCCCTTGGCTGAGAAGCAACCCCACACATGAATGGTCTCAGGATGCTTTACTGTTGGCATGACACAGGACTGATGGTAGCGCTCACCTTGTCTTCTCCGGACAAGGTGTTTTCCGGATGCCCCAAACAATCGGAAAGGTGATTCATCAGAGAAAATGACTTTACCCCAGTCCAGCAGTCCAATCCCTGTACCTTTTGCAGAATATCAGTCTGTCCCTGATGTTTTTCCTCGAGAGAAGTGGCTTCCTCGCTGCCTTTCTTGACACCAGGCCATCCTCCAAAAGTCTTCGCCTCACTGTGCGTGCAGATGCACTCACACCTGCCTGCTGCCATTCCTGAGCAAGCTCTGCACTGGTGATGCCCTGATCCCGCAGCTGAATCAACTTTAGGAGACGGTCCTGGCGCTTGCTGGACTTTCTTGGGCGCCCTGAAGCCTTCTTCACAACAATTGAACCTCTCTCCTTGAAGTTCTTGATGATCTGATAAATGGTTGATTTAGGTGCAATCTTACTAGCAGCAATATCCTTGCCTGTGAAGCCCTTTTTGTGCAAACCAATGATTACAGCATGTGTTTCCTTGCAGGTAACCATGGTTAACAGAGGAAGAACAATGATTTCAAGCACCACCCTCCTTTTAAAGCTTCCAGTCTGTTATTCTAACTCAATCAGCATGACAGAGTGATCTCCAGCCTTGTCCTCGTTAACACTCACCTGTGTTAACGAGATAATCACTGACATGATGTCAGCTGGTCCTTTTGTGGCAGGGCTGAAATGCAGTGGAAATGTTTTTTTGGGATTAAGTTCATTTTCATGGCAAAGAGGGACTTTGCAATTAATTGCAATGAATCTGTTCACTCATCATAACATTCTGGAGTATATGCAAATTGCCATCATAAAAACTGAGGCAGCAGACTTAATATTTGTGTCATTCTCAAAACGTTTGACCACGACTGTAGACTTTACCGTGAAATGCTTACTTATTAGCGCTTTCCCAACAATGCAGAGTTAAAAAGTAAGAAACATTAACAAAATAAAATAGGACTAGTAACACAAAATAACAATAATGAGGTTACTATATACAAGGAGTACAGGTACCGAAGCAATGTGCAGGGGTACGAGGTAATTGAGGTAATATGCACATGTAGGTAGGGGTAAAGGTGACTAGAAATCAGGATAGATAAACAGAGTAGCAGCAGCATATATGAAGAGTGTGAAAGAGTGTGAAAGTGTGTCTATATGTGAGTGTGTGTGTGTGTGTGAGCGTATGTAGTGTGTGTGTGTGTCTGTGTATGTGTTTTAGATTTTTGGATTTATTAGGACCCCCCATTAGTCAATGCCAATGGCGACAGCTAGTCTAACTGGGGTCCAACACATAACGAAAAATACATTAGAGACAAAATACTTTACAATTTACATACATTTAAAAACATGAACATGTAGTGTGTGTGTGCATCTATCAGTTACACATACATGTCAGTACATACACACAACAAGTAGGTCACATGGGGAAGAGGTGTTGTGCCTTGAGGTGTTGCTTTATTTGTTATCTGAAACCAGGTTTGCTGTTCACTTGTGCTATATAAGATGGACGGTCCCCTGTAGCTCAGTTGGTAGAGCATGGCGCTTGCAACGCCAGGGTTGTGGGTTCGTTTCCCATGGGGGGCCAGTATGAAAATGTCTGCACTCACTAACTTTAAGTCGCTCTGGATAAGAGCGTCTGCTAAATGACTAAAATGTAAAAAAAATGGAAGGGAGTTCCATGCACTCATGGCTCTGTATAATACTGTACGTTTCCTTGAATTTGTTTTGGACCTGGGGACTGTGAAAAGACCCCTGATGGGGTAAGTGTGTGTGTCAGTGATGGGCGTAAATTGACTATGCAAACAACTTGGAATTTTCAACACAATGTTTCTTATAAAAACAAGAAGTGACACGGTCAGTCTTTCCTCAACTCTTAGCCAAGAGAGACTGGTATGCATAGTATTAATATTAGCCCACTGACCACAATGAAGAGCAAGATGTGCCGCTCTGTTCTGGGCCAGCTGCAGCTTAACTAGGTCTTTCTTTGCAGCACTTGACCATATGACTGGACAATAATTGTCATACGTCAGTGTGTAGCGGTAGGGCGGAGTCAGGCGCAGGACACAGAACTTAGTAAACAACGTACTTTACTTAACAAAAGTAACAGAGCATATCTTCCACGCAGGGAAGAAAATACCAGCTCACAAGAAAGACAGCAAAACAACGAACAATCACGCACAACACCATGACAAATCCAGAGGGTAAAATAGGGAAACAAATTAACGTGATGGGAATCAGGTGTGTGCAATCAAGACAAAACAAGTGGAACACAGAAACATAGATCGGTGGCAGCTAGTACTCCGGTGACGACGAACGCCGAAGCCTGCCCGAGCAAGGAGGAGGGGCAGCCTCGGCTGAATTCGTGACAGTACCCCCCCTTGACCGACACCAGCCTCGGGGGCGGCCAGGAGGACGCTGAGCAGGGTGAGTCGGATGACGACGGTGGAAAACCCTCAACAGGGAGGGATCGAGGATGTCCCTCCTAGGAACCCAGCACCGTTCCTCCGGACCGTACCCCTCCCACTCCACGAGATACTGCAGGCCCCCCACCCGACGTCTCGAATCCAGGATGGCATGGACCGAGTACGCCAGTGCACCCTCGATGTCCATTGGGGGCGGAGGAACCTCCCGCACCTCAGACTCCTGGAGCGGACCAGCTACCACCGGCCTGAGGAGAGACACATGGAACAAGGGGTTTATACGGTAATCAGGAGGGAGCTGTAACCTATAACATACTTCGTTCAATCTCCTCAGGACTTTAAATGGCCCCACAAACCGCTGACCCAGCTTCCGGCAGGGCAGGCGAATTGGCAGGTTTCGGGTCGAGAGCCAGACCCGGTCCCCCGGTGCATACACCGGGGCTTCACTGCGTTGACGGTCGGCGCTCGCCTTCTGTCGCCTGATAGCCCGTTGCAGGCGTACATGGGCAGTGTTCCAGGTCTCCTCCGAGCGCCGAAACCATTCATCCACCGCAGGTGCCTCGATCTGGCTCTGATGCCATGGTGCCAGGACCGGCTGATAACCTAATACACACTGAAATGGAGACAGGTCAGTAGAGGATTGGCGGAGGGAGTTTTGGGCCATCTCTACCCAGGGGATGTACACCGACCAATCCCCCGGCCGGTCCTGGCAATATGACCTCAGAAACCTACCCACATCCTGGTTTACTCTCTCCACCTGCCCATTACTCTCGGGGTGAAACCCTTAGATCAGGCTGATCGAGACCCCCAGATGGTCCATGAACGCCCTCCAGACCCTTGATGTGAACTGGGGACCTCGATCAGACACTATATCCTCAGGTACCCCGTAGTGCCGGAAGACGTGTGTAAACAGAGCCTCAGCAGTCTTTAGGGCCGTAGGGAGACCGGGCAAAGGAATGAGACGGCAGGACTTAGAAAACCGATCCACAGCGACTAAGATCGTGGTATTCCCCTGTGACGGGGGGAGGTCCATAACAAAATCCACCGATAGGTGTGACCATGGCCGTTGTGGAACGGGTAGAGGTTGTAATTTCCCTCTGGGCAGGTGTCTAGGTGCCTTGCACTGGGCACACACTGAGCAGGAGGTAACATAAACCCTCACGTCCTTAGCTAAAGTAGGCCACCAGTACTTACCACTGAGGCAGCGCACTGTCCGACCAATGCCAGGATGACCAGAAGAGGGTGACGTATGAGCCCAAAAGATCAATCGATCGCGGACATCAGACGGAACGTACACATGACCCACTGGACACTGGGGGGGAGTGGGCTCCGTGCATAACGCCCGCTCAATGTCCGCGTCAACCTCCCATACCACCGGTGCCACCAGACAAGAAGCCGGAAGTATGGGAGTGGGCTCCCT